GAAGCAAAGAAGATGAAGAAGAAGGCCTCTACAATTCTTAGGACCAAAAATAAAGATATTGAAGATAAAAATGATGATGATGATGATGATGATGATGAAAAGCACCAGCCTTTAAGTAAGAAAAAACAAGCTTTAAGAAAGTAAAAGCTTGAAAGAGCATGTACAGTGTAATAAGGTGAATCTTCTTCAAATGAAACAAGATATCTTTTGAAAGAAAAAAGATCATGTGGTGAATGGTAGAAGAACCACATCTTTTCTCAAGTAAAGAACATGTCAATGTTATACTTCTTGTTGATTCATTGAATTTATGTGAGACAATGAAATCCACAAATACTATGAAATAGAAAAAGACTATGGAAGAAGAGTACAAATCACTCATAGATAATTAAACATGAGAATTGACTCAACTTTTACCTAATCAATCTTCAATTGATTGTAAGTGGATGTTAAAAATCAAAAATGATGCAATAGATAAAGTTATAAGATATAAGGCAAGATTAATTGCCAAAAGCTACTGATAAGTTATTTGTATTGATTTCAATAGGAAATTTGCTCCTATAGCAAAATTCACTACTATTAGAATCATTATGGCAATTGGAGCAGCAATTGACTTTGAAATGCATCAAATTAAACTGCAAATGGCTTTCTTAAATAGAAAGTTGAAAGAAGACATCTATATGGATCAACTTCAAGGATTTGTTGGAAAAGGCAAATAATACCTTATTTATAAGTTGAAAAAATCCTTGTATGCACTAAAATAATTATTAAGAACATAGTACCAACATATTGATACATTCTTTGTAAATGAAGGATTTATAAGAAGTAAGATTGATGATTCTTTGTATATAATGCAATCATATAAGTTCATATTGAATATCATCCTTTATATTGATGATTTAATCATATTGAGTAATACGATCAAGAAGATGAATTGATTGAAGGCAAAGTTAGAAAATGAATATGAAATGAGTGATTTGAAAAAGCTCTACTTTTATTTAGAAGTAGAATTTATAAGAAATTGTGGTAATAAGAGTACTATAATGAGCCAAAGTAAGTACATTGAAGATGTATTAAAATGATTCAACATAACAGAGTGTCAGCCCATTGAAACACCTTTGGAAGACAATTTGAAGTTGATCAAACTCACAAATGAAGAGTTAGATGAAGTTGAAGATGAAATGAAAGATGTTCCATACAAGGTAGTAGTAGACTCACTTAGATATATAATGGTTGGTACAATGATGGATCTTATATATGCAGTGAGTATTATGCACCAACACATATCAAAATCTAGACCAATCTATTAAATAACCATCAAGAGAATTATGAAGTACTTGAAAGGTAATTTGAACTTCAAATTATGTCTTAGAGGAAATAATATTGCATTGCATGGTTATTATGATGCGAATTGAGCTGGTGATGCAAAGAATAGAAGATCAAGAATAGAATATGTGTTTTTTGTTGAAATGGAAGTAATCTCATGGAATTCCAAGAAACAACCAACAGTTGCAAGGTCCACAATATAGGCGGAATATATGATAGCAAGTCATGGTATAATAGACGCAATTTGGTTAGAAGACATTAGACTTATGCAATTAGAAGTAATTCCAATGAAGTGTGATAATCAAGGATGTCTTACTTTTGCAAAGAATCCAAAGCATCACTTAAGAACCAAGCACATTAACATTCAACAGTACTACACAAGAGAGAAGATTAAAATGGGAGTGATTGACATGAAGTATTATGCAATAGAGGACATACTTACTGATTTTCTAACAAAAGCATTGGTGAAGGATGGACATCAAAAGTTCACAAAAGTATTAGCTTTAAAATCCTTTGACCAATAGCAAAGTGGGAGTGTTAAAGAAAGAATAAGATACTACATAGAAGACATTACCTTAGGTATGCAGCTAATAGTCAAAGGATAGTAAAAGAATGAAGGTAAGTTACTAATATGGCAGCTAGGATTTTAAGTATCGGCCAGGTTAAGAGGAATTTAGGATTGAATTAGATGAAGCAAAGAAAAATAAAGATGATCATAGATGAAGTTCAAGTACAATAGATGTAAATTTCTCCTGTAAATAAAAGATATTGGAAGTAAAATACATTTTATTTCACACTTCTTTTGTGTGCAACATTTTTCATTTCTACTTATTTCTATGTTGCTACTTATATTTCTTCAACAACTCTAAGTACAATAAGCTCTTTGATAGAAAAAAAATTATAATTTTTTTTTTTTTGTAAGATCCTTTAATTTTTCATGTATGTCTAAATTTAAGAAACATTTCTACTTATCTTAAGATAATTTTGAATGATCCATACAATTTTATTATCTACTTAATATAACATCTATGTTGGCACATGTCATTTCAATCAGTACATCTCAATTATAAAACAACCGAAAGTGGCCTTGATATTTTCATTTTGATTACATTTTATCTTAAATCGATCTCTTATCTACCATTTTTATTAAGTGCACAAGAGTCATTCTTAAAAAATTAGGGCAGATGCTATTATTTGATGCAGTTGTGTGATGCTCAAATGCACTCCAAATGCTTCTATTACTTCTAGTACCTAGTTTGTAATGAAGTGTGCAAGGTCACTACACCACCTTTGGAAGACCCTTCCCTGGCACTTATCAACAGAGGAAGCACATTGCAAAACCCTAATGTAGCCCTAAACCAGTCAAATGAGGACGAGATTCTGCAGTGAAAAACAGCCCCCTCAATCTTACATGAGTAATTTGAGTGTATGTCCATGCAGTGCTACTTCTTCTCCAACAGCCGCCTACCTGAAGTGTTTGTTTGCATTCATGATGCACTTCAGGTGCATGGACAACTCTCCATAATCATGGATTTTCTCACCCACTTCTGTAGTGATGGGTTTTCGTTACTCCCTACGATGAATTTCTGCAGCTATACCTCGAGAGAATTATGTTCTCGGCACTGTCAACATGAAGTTAGTGCATGGATGTTCCCTGACTCCGCCGTCATCGTATCGAAGCCATTGACGTGATAAGAAACTGTAGCTGAAAAATTTGCAGCAACCCAAAACACCACCCTATTTTGGCTGTTCAAAGTTGACCACAATCCGTTGCGGTATGGACTCTAACTGGGTCCATTAGAGTGAACGAGACCTGCATTGGGCTGAAGGGATAGATAGTATTGGACTTACAAGAAAACTTCAAAAATATGATTAGAACAACAGAAAAGAAAAAGAAAAAGAAAAAACACACACTTGGACGCTGGTAGCAATGGTAGGAAATATGTTCACTACGATATTCGAACTACAGCAGTGAAGCATCATGCACAGAAAAGACAAACGTCATTACCGCTTGGCCAAAGGGACTTAGTGAAACCCTATATAATGTCCTTTATATTTATGTACGTATTTATACATATATATTACGCAAATGATCACCCTTCTGACGCAAATCTATTGCCACAAAACCTGTTGAGGTACATCATCAAGCAGCCAGTCATATGGATTTCTTTGAGCTTCTCAGGTTAGGCAACACCACCCACCTACACAGAACCAGATATAGTGTCAAACCATCAAAATCCAAGGGTTCTATTGTTTAGTTTCAAAGCTGCATTTCTCTACACATAGTTGAGGACTAGTCCCAATTCTTTCGTGGGCATGTGTTCGATGACGTTGAGGAAGTTTCGAAGTTCAGAAGAGATGACTTCGCAAGGTCTGTATTAGATTAAAATCCGTGAAACTTACTCGAGGGTCGAGAATTTTCTTACTGGTCTTTGAACCCGAAACTCTGCTAAGAAAGAAATGAGAGTGACGTGAGGTGTACCTTTTGGGTTGGAGTACCCGACGACATTGGTCGATTGGCAGACTCAGAATCAGCTCTAGCACTCGTAGATGCCTTCATATCTGTCCCAGTTACCGAAGTGGCTGACGCGGGCGCACCTGAGAAAGAGGGCAAGGATTGAAAATCAACGAGAAATCTTATAATTCGAAGAAGAAAGGGCTTACATTTGCTGCTACTTCTCATCAAAAGTGCCGTTCGAATATCTACAGTGCAGAATAACATAGTTCCCAACATTTGGTTTCCAGATTGATGAATCAATATACAGTGAACAGAAACAACTGACATACATACAGAGAATGCGATGTGCGAGCAAGGATAAGAGGGTCTGTGCTAAAACCATGAGGTTTGTTGACTATCTTTGAACGAGAAGGGAATCTGATGAGCGGAATGCGCCTCACTACGGAGCTGATCGTCATTGAACAAGCGTCCACCGGCTCAGTAGTTGGTCCCTGGCGGATAACAGTCGACCTTGGAAATCTCCCGTCCAGCGATATTCGACGTGCACTTCGAAATTGAGTTCTCTGTTTCCGGTATATGAAATCGACAGCAGAGGGCAGTTTGATCCAAAGCGATAACACTTCCTGTCCTGCAGCTGCAACCACCCATCTTGTTCTATTGCGGTGTCACAATCTCTGAAGGATCTCAACCCCAAACTAAGATCATTCTCTGCGAACAAGTGGCCAGGAACTCTTCTCCAGTTACCACCCTTTTCTCTGGTCCATCGGACATGGAGATTAATGAACGATGTGGATGCTGCTGCTCAGGGAAGTGTGGTCCGGAGCTACGTTTGGATTAAACTCAGACCTAGGACCACTTTGTGAACTCAAATCTCGTCGAGGTTTCGACCCATTCCAGCCACTCATGTGCAAAGAGATGGATGCTAGTCCAAAATCACATGTCTATGTATGAAATAACTTAAGATCTTGACTCAGGTAGCGAGCAAACAATTTCATGATCACGTGCATATGTCGTACATCTGCGACAAGAGCTCTGTACAACCTCAGCCGTAACTCCGAAGATGACTTCGTAACGCAGCGAAAACTAGCTCAATTGCCAATTGTGAAGTAAACTAGTTTTTAATATCCGCATTTAGCGGAGTGGGTAGACAGTAGATGCTCAGGCATAAGTTCCACTCGAATGTGAAACTCTTTAGCTCAGGACACGTCTGCTCAGCTCATGTTATGAACTGTTTGAAAAACAAATTGATCGTTTTGATTAAATTTCTGCGTGTTTCAAATAGACGTTCATCAGATCATTGCTATGGGAATCCTCAGATCTGCACCTTTGTCATCTGTGACAAAAATGTTCTATGCACTGTAAACTAAAAATAAAAATAAAAAAAAAACGTTCTACGCCGCAAGTAAACGATTCACGTATTCAGGATCTCTCTGTGATCGTTCCTCAAATTTCTTGTACCATTGTTCGAAAATTCCACGAGGAACCACAAGGTGATTATCCTGAACATGGCAGAATGACTGCATGAAGTTGAACAAATTACGTCCCACATTTAGGGCCACTTGCTCAAGCTGCCTATGCCGACCTACATTCAGAGCTGGGAGAGTTGCCGCGTCCTCAATTGCCACCCCAATTTTGGCGGTAACAGGTCGAGAGGTTGAACCTATCAAATTCATCTGGCTCGAAGTTGTTGGCCATAATAATGAGAGCACGGTTGAAGGACAGGCCCTGGTCACACCACCTCGAAATTGAAAATTAGAGCCTGGAGATTGAACGTAGACTGCTACTGCTTTGTCGGCTGGGATGGACGCTTCGTGGAAGAGATAGATGCACATCTCAGTCACTTGATCATACGCTTCACCTATTCCCAAAAAAGCAGTAAGATCAAGATAAGGATATTTACCAAATAATATCGACTATCATGAGTTGAAAAGTACGGGAAAACTGGACAAAACTGATTACATTCCCACAAATGTCCAAATTATAGAAGAGGAAGAGCTACTTCATGATCCGCCTAGACACGTTGCAGCGCTACTAGAAATTGATGAAGAAAAAGCATTTTCAACATAAATAGATGGAAGTGACAAATAGCCTAGCATTTTCTTGAAGATCTAAGAACTCCAATTTGCGTATATGCTGACGCATTCCTCGACGTGGCTTAGTCGCCACTTTTCAACCGTAAATAGCTCGCAAGACCATGTCTGACGAATTTTTCCTTATTTCAAGATCTTCCGTTAACACCAGGAGTCGCTGTTATTCAAATGTAAATAACAGTCAAACTTCACAGGTTTAACATTAATGACAAACAACACCAAACTCACCAACAAAAATATCCATGTTCAGAAGCCATTTCTGAGTGTCAACTTGGGTGAAGTTGGAGGCGTCTAAGGGATAACTTCGGTTCGGAAAGAGAACCCCAAAGATATTTGTTGGGATGATTGCCTGCCCCACAAAACTTGAGACAATCTCCAATTGACCAGGTCTTTCAGCATCACTAGCAGGTGTATGCATGATCGCCCGCTTCTTCCTCCTAACTGCCTCATCAACTTCATCTCCGACTACTGAAGATTCAGATGGAGAACGTCGTCGATGACCGTGGGTCAGCGATGACCCAGCTTCTGCAATGCAAGAAAATGCAAAACGTAAGGTCCCTGTCGAAGACATTCATAGAATCAAACACAACTCATGAGCGACAGGAAGCCCACACATACCAAGGCCAGAGTCAAACACAGCGTTTATCAAAGAGAATGTCAGAGAAACACCCCAGAAATGGCAACTGATTGACTGACCTGACGCTCTTTTCACAAGAATTTGAACTGGTTGTCTGTTCGCCATGAAGTGCCAAGTTTACAAATTTTCTAGCAAAGTCAACCTAATTGCTGGGCAGAACTTGTGGAAATGTGGATAGGCCAGTTCGTACAAATTTAGGTCAAGTAATTTCGGCAAGTATTGCTAGTAAGCTCCGAGTTAAAGGATCCTCTCCCGTCTCCGCGACATGTCTTCGACGGCGAAATTTTCCTAATAAATAATGAGAACACAGCAATCGAGCCACTCTCCGTCTCTTCACTAGTCAAGATGCGCTCCAACCGAATTTGTCCATTTCTAAATCGAGCCCGTGAAGTGAAGACTTCGAGCTGCATCCCGATCTTCTAATTTGTGCAAACGGTTACTCTCCATCAAACCTCGTTGCACCATCAGGATAACGATTTCCTCCTCCTGAACAAAATCCAGAAACTAAACTCGACCAACGGGGTTCGTGTTCCTTCAGATAATATAAACGGGGCCCTACTCCCAAACACCGAATATCCAAAACAAAAAAACGATACTTCCTCGCAGCTCGACCAATTTACGACACCTCCCAACCACAAACTTCCGGCAGAAGGATAGAGTTAAGAAATTCCAGACCATAAATATGCTTCAGAACAAACCCCGATCGAAAAAGATTAGCTCCAACCTCCCGACCCTAGGAAAAAGAATTGCAGAAACACATAGAAACCAGAATCAACGCTATTCATCTCCCCACGAACTCTTAAGCAGCAAAATCCAACCTCTTCCCAGAGACGAGTGGTCACGATATACATCACCGCACGCTCACATCCCCCCCTCCAGAAATTCAACAGTCCTACTCTGCATGACTACCACCTACGCTCGCCTTGGAAGCTCATACGCAACCAGCTGTCGAGCAGCAATTACCACTGAGGAATGCTTTTCTAGCCACTAAATGTCGAAGAGACAAAAGATGACACGGAAGCGGGAAGCTTCGACACGCACTGGGGCACAATCTCAACGCCACCACCAAACCACCGCCACAAAACAGGTACTGAACAGACGCAATCTCAAAACTTAAACACTCCCCTCAAGTCCAACAGACACCAATTCTCCCGAGCCGGAATCTTAGTGCGCGACAGAATCGGCACACGTTTCGCCACAATGATAATTGTGAGCAACAAAAATATCTGCGCTGTGTAATGTTTGCCTCGGCGAAGCAGCGACGGCGATGGAGCTGGTTTAACAACCTGGCCCCTCTTCACTCTTCCGAGTCATAGATATCACGTCCCGATCCGAAGATTTCTGGCTTCCATATCTGCGAATACAAATGGTGAGTTGGGGACCTCGTAGTCGTCCAGAATGTTCTGGAAGGGTTCCCCTGGATTTGGTTCTCCACTGGTTCTTGAGTTTGGTTCCCACGTGGTGAACGAGTATAGCAGGTTCTGGAACGTCGGGTGCGTTCCTCTTTCTATATAAAGCAGGTTGTCCCGTTCCCGAAGGCCATCTTAGATTCGGGAACGAGTTCCCCAATGTGAACAACAGGGCTCATGGCTGTCAAATTGTTAAGCGAAAAGTGTAATTCGAATGGTACTATTTGGTGTTGGAGGATGAATTGTAAGAGATTTTTTTGGTATAAAATACTTATCTGTTGTTGTATCAAAGGTTGTTGTCATAGAATGTATGTTCATTGATAGTTTTGTTTCAGAATTCTATTTCATTGTTGCTGAAATTACATACTAACATCCCATGTGAAAGTGTATCTTTCTTCTCGCATGAGTGCGTTGAAGCGCATTCAAGTGTAGATTGTGTGATTTAGATGCTGATTGTGGAGATCATGAGGTCTATTTCCAACGCAAACGCCGGTAATTTCTATGAGGGAATGTAGTCTTTGTCGATGGATGTCTTACAATCTCTGAATGGTTTGTGGTGGCATCGTGGCAGTCATTGACTAAATTTTGCTAACTAAACTGTGGTGAAGCTCTTGCAACGGGAAGATCTCATGAGAGCAAATCGGCACACATTTAAGGTGGAGTGGAATCCAACAACGAGGTTGCGGTTCTGTAGCGGGCTGAGCTGATGACCTAAGATGCACAGAAATGTGGGTTAGCAACGCAGGTCCAGAGGTGTGCTACATAGACGTGATGGGCATGGAATTTGAAGGCCCCGGCCACGATGACGAGGACAAGTCAGGTTTTCGATATACTCTACCTGGAAAAGAAAACTTCATGCTTCTTTTGCGCTAGCTTGTTCGCGTGACCATTCACTAACCCCTTTTATGCTGGGGTTTTCATTCAGGTGTGATCTGAAAGGTAGACCTGTGACATATTGTCTGTTCAATCACGGAGTGTGGGCCCACGACGTCGTTGCAGAGGATTTGATGGAGCGCACGATGACATTCCAGCGTGCCACTTACGCTCAGGATGCGATAGTATTAGTGATATTGATTTTCTATGTCGTTAGATGGACTTTGTTCATGTGTGAAAAATGTGTGCTCGGAACAATTTTCAAAATTTGGATTCAAAATTGTTTTGGTGGCTGGATTATGTTCTTTAACCTGAACCAAGCTGCTAAAGCATCCTGAACCGAATCGATGAGATTCTTTTCTTCAACCCCCAAGGCTTGACACTCGCATGATTGGTATGTGTCTTGTTACTTTCAACCTTAAGAGCTTGAAATCATTCGAGAGAAGATTCATCTGTTCGTTACCAATTGTGGAATACACACCATCGACTAAACCAATGGCGATGACATTTTCATCCCCGTTGTACGGCATTTTCGCACTACCGACGTCACTTTCCATGATTCATGGAGTTTTCTGTGTGATTATAATACACGTAAGCACCTCTTGGGGATGGCAGTGTTCCACTGTGGCAACAGTTTCAGTAGCAATTTCAGTAGCAGCTTCTTGCAGCATGGGTTGCAAGCATGGCATTACACATGCATAATATGATCCACTCCGTGACACTGCAGTATCCGAGCTCCGTTGTGGCCTTTCCCGTTTCTCTTGGTCACCACGCTTTGGTGCTTCGCTCTCGAAGTGGGTTGCAGAGATTTCGAGTATCCAAAGTTGCTTTGAGTAGTTTGCGTGTGAGTCCTGCGCTTCCTTTTGGCGGGATTAGTTTGAGGGATTGTGGAAGATCGGTGGGTGGGTTCGGTGGATCTTCGCCTGTGAAAAGGGTGAGGGAGTTCCAAGCAATGGCAGTGCCCAAGGTTCACAAGGCGTGGGTGTACCATGAGCTTGGCCCTGCCAAGGACGTGCTCAAGTTTGAAGAGGTCGCTGTGCCTGAAGTGAAGCCAAATCAGGTCCTTATCAAGGTGAAGGCTGCGGCCATCAACCCTGTCGACAACAAGCGCCGAACTGGCTACCTTGGGGATAAGGATTCTCCACTTCCGGTATTACGCGACTTTGCATGTTTCTTCATTGAACACCGTTGCTGCAATTTTTGACTCGACGTAGAGGATTTTGAGAGTTTGTCCTGTTGATTGGTAAGTTGAAGTTGTAGGCACCCCCAGCCATGGCGTTTGCGTTCTAGAGAGGATTATATGGTGAAGGAAGAGATGAAGGGATTTCATGTAAACTAAGTTAGGTCCATCACATAGCTTACAGGTGTACTAATCAAATTCTTCGTTACCTACGCTGGAATCTCAGATTGTGCCAGGATATGACTGTGCTGGAGTGGTGGTGAAATTGGGCGATCAAGCCTCCAAGTTCGAAGTGGACGACGAGGTGTATGGCATGACTTCTGAAATTCCTGTCGTGCATCCCAAGCAGTGGGGCACTCTGGCATCCTACACAGCTTGCGAGGACAAATTTCTTGCACTGAAGCCCAAAAACTTGAGTTTTGAAGAGGCTGCGAGCCTACCCCTTGCCATCCTCACCGCTACCGAAGGACTCCAGAAAGCTGGCTGCGAAGAAGGCAAGACGGTGCTTGTTCTTGGTGGATCCGGCGGAGTCGGCACACATGTTATTCAGGTTATTTTCGCTCAGAGTTTCAAGCTTTGGGGGCATTAGTTTTTGTTTCTCAATATGAAAAATTAACTTTTGTTTGGTTTCATGGGTTGAATGTAATGTCCTCCGAAGTATGCAACCAGCATGATGGCAAGATGGATAATTCGAACAGGTGTGTCTTCTTGATTGCAGGTTGCCAAGCACGTCCTCAAGGCTGCTCACGTAACAACAACAGGAAGTTCAAAGAAGACCGAATTTCTAAAAAATCTTGGAGCAGACGAGGTTCTTGACTATCACTCTACGGATTATACCCAGAAGCCCGAACGCTATGACGTTGTCTATGACACTGTCGGTAAGTCCTATTCAATCTTCTCTAAAATCTCAGTATGACTGTCTCGTGACTAACTTGGATCATTTCAAAAGGCGAAGCTTATTTGAACGGCTCTTGATTGTAATAATCTAGCTTTGTTGCGATGTGATTGTGAGCAGGTGAAGGCCCAACTAAAGGAGTCAAAGTGTTGAAGGATGGAGGTGTGCTTGTGTCCATTCTTACCAAAGACCCTGCCTTCCGGCATGTTGTGCAATCAAAGGCCGAGGTGCTGGAGATGTTGAATCCGTATCTGGAGAGTGGAGCCGTGAAACCCATCATCGACCCCGAAGGAAGGTTCAAGTTCTCGGAAGTGGTGCAAGCTTATGAGTATTTGGAGGCTGGGCATGCTACTGGGAAAGTGACCATTTCTCCCATAGAGTGAGGCTTTGTAAACTCTGATGCATTCTACGGAAGCTTTAGTTTATTGCGGTGAAGATATACATAATGTTTCACAACAGTATTTGATAACGGTAATGAGGGCTCTCCTTGTCTGGCACATAGCTTTTAGATTACATTCGACCCATATTATACGAATGCTGTTGATTAGAATGAATAGGGTTATTGTCTCCTGCATATTGAGATTGTACAGACGTAGAATCAGACCCTCGTGTATCCATGTAAGTGCAGGGCTGTGCCAACAGACAGTTTCATGTATTATTTCTGGGGGATAATTTACACCATGAGAGAAGAATCTCGTTATGTGATAATTGGAAGTTGTCCTCTCGTACTTATCATTATGGGTGAAGAATTACAAGATGAGATTAGAAAGATATTGAGAATTGACATGGCGACTTACATTTACTGAAAAAAACATTCTTGTCACTTCACCTTTCTAGAGGATGTTTTAAGATTCTCAGTGGGAAGTGTTTCAGTGCAGCGAAACCCAAAATGCTTATGGTGAACAAGCTCTTTTTGATGAAAATATTTTCATGCCTTGCCATAATCATTTCCTCTAAAATGCCAGCGTTTTAGACTGAAGAACAAACTGAAAACTATATGCATCAAGCCTTAGTTTGTTCTTTAGGGTTAGAATCTGGATGCAGTGGGAGTGTTTCAACTCTTCGAACTTGACTTCCTTTGTCATGGCTGCGCAAATAAGACCGTCTCTATGTTTTACACATGGTACTCATACCCTAAATTTTCATTTCAAATTCAATTTACAATCATTATCACCATGTATGAACAGACTTACTTGCTGAGGAAAACGAATGGAGTTGGTAGTACAGAAACACAGACTAGAATACCTGAAAACCATCATGATGAATTTGACAAAGACGTGGATTCAACCCACATTCAAATGGAATCTGAGAACGTTAACACGCAATAAATAACATACCACAAGAGATAGTTGCAATTGAAGAGCCACAAGGATAAATTTACAAGGGAGTAGCAGACGTTGGATCGGTTGTTCATGCTCAGATATTTCATTCCCTGTCCTTCAATTGTTGACACACCTGATTTTTTTCCATTGACTACTGATCTCAAAATACAAGCTCCAGGTATAAGACAACATCCAAAGTTGCATGCAGCAAATACCTTGGACGGGGCGCTAGCCTCAAAAAGGAGATATGAAGGTCAGAAAAAAATTTACCTACTCCTACAAGTATATAGCTTTGCGATTATCAACTTAGTCAAGCCACTTCGAGCGAAATCTTTACAATTTTTCCAAGTTAACTAGAATCTTGATGAGATCAAATCTTAAAACCAAGGATCCTGTCGCCTTTGTATTCTACTTGCCAAAAAGAGGGTCACAAAAATTATGACTTATGCGCCTGATCAGCAACACCTGGTATGGCAGGAGGGGCAACTCGAACATAAGACAGAGATCGCGACGATCGTACAGGAGCAGTGATTATCATATCCATATCTGTAGAAGAAGCAACATCACTCGGAATTATATTGGTTGCTGCTGATGCATCACGTCTCCACTTCAAATTTGACGTTCCCGTTTGAAGCATAGACGGACCAATTGATCGCCTCGCAGGATATAGTTTATGCTGTGGCGTATGCTCTCTTGGATAGCCACTTGAAAATGTTGGCTGAGAAAACGAACTGGAAATAGCTGAAACTGGGTTCATTTCTGCAATAGCAGAATTCTTACGCATGACCTGCTCGAAGACGAGTGATAGAATTAAGAAAGAAGGTGCAGGAAGAACAATAGGGCATGAGAATTCTGACAAAAGATAACCTGGCTGCATCATAGAAGATTGTGCCAAGGATGAAAAACCTAGCGACCAAGATCCAGAAGCTTGCTTAAGGGCGAAACAAGTTTTAATTGCCAACAGTAAAAGCAATGATAACATCAACGCGCACCTTGACATTACGAGAGAGTAGCGATGACTCGCTCAGAGTTAGAGCAATTTCCACTGCATCTTTTGTGGCAAATTCCACAAAAGCAGATCTGTCAACATGCAATGAGGTCTTGGCATCATGAAGATTTGGACAGCCTTTTAGGTCCCTCCAACACAGTGTCAAATAGAAATAGCTTTAAGCAAAACCCAAAACGTACTCGAACAGAATAAATTATATAATTCCAAATGCAAGCTTAAAGTTGATAAAGTATTCCTTGACAGGTATCAAGCTCCACTCACCCCTTCGGCTTGCCAGTAGCCGGCTCTGCCAACAGCGTTACTCGATTTATGATTCCACACCCGCCAAAGTGAGCTCGTAAGGCTGCTTGTGTGGCAGCAAAATGGACCTGAAAATATTTCAAGCATGACATGATGAGCACCAATAAGAACTCAGAGAGCATCTACTGCTTAACATCTTCCAGTCTTTGAGCCAAAAGTGCGACAACTGTAGATTAAAAAGCAGTAGACGATGACTATAGTTAAACCTAAACATATCCACCCAAGTAACAAATAAAGCAGTGAAAAACTTACGTTGGTGACAAATATAGACCGAGAATTGATGTCTTCTTGGCTCGGTTGAGATTCAAAAGACATCGTCCTTAAACCTGCGCCACAATTCACGTACAAAATTATACTGACTATCAGCACTGTAGCTGAATAAACAAATTGATGCACCTTCAAGTCTGACTAATTAAGAGGTCTTACCAGCAGCAGGTGAGTTCTGCACCTCCTTAGTAACTTCTGCCTGCCGAGCTCGCAGCTTGGTCATATCAAGCTGTATTTGCCTTAATTTCTTCTTCATTTCCAAAACATCCTACATCCACAAAATGAACTCAGCGTCAACATCTGAAAGCTACGATCGAGCAAAACAGAAAGTTTTTTAATTACGTTAACCTAGAAGAGAATGCGTAAATGGCTTAAGATGTCCCACCTCATTAACGATGGTTGTTTGAGCATCTCCGATCACCTTCCCATCAGTTTGTGAGGATTCATTTCCTGGCCGATGCCTTCCCAGCTTATTTGAAGCTGAACCATTCCTTTTGTATAGATTATCTGAATTCTGCATGTGTGCCGTGTTGATTCTTCGTAATGCGTCACCCAGTATTTGCCCGCTCACAAGCACTGTCCTACCAGGGTGTAGTGCCCCTCCTCTATGTCTCTGTTCCCTACCACCTCTTCCTTTTCCAGATCCTGTTCTATAACTGGAAGCTCCATTCTTCTTCCATTTTTCTCTATTCTCAAAATGGACACCCTCTTCACCCTCTGCAAACCCATTCTTATTGTTCTGTGTACTTCTGTGATTAAATTTAATTCGATCCCACACAGAAGCAGGTTTGTCTTGCGTTTGTCTCTCTTGTAACTCATAGTTTCCGTTAACATGAAGATCCTCCATAGCGACTGGTTCGGGCTCAACAGCAGGATCGCCATGAGTCGTGACAACTTCAGCTCCACCGTTGCCCTGCATATCTGAATACACGCCGCATTGCGAGTCACTTTCTCTATCATTCGCATTCTGCCAAATCAGAGCACAAAATGTCTCTGTCGTTTCATATGTATAGATAAAAGATAGTTTATTAGAACGACCAACTGTAGAAAGCCCATTCAAGTGCGTGTCTTGAGCCATCTGAACCACCATCACTGTCATACTACTTTGAATAGAGTTTTACCAGCATCTGACAACACCAAAGATTGGAGACGCTTTGCTGGCTCGGACTTCTTCAAAGCATCTTTTTTGGTAGCAAGAAGTGCACTTTCATTCACAACTTCCCTCACTGCATTCATGAGAAGGCGCCGAGAAGCCTTCACAACTGGAGGAGACATCTCTTTCTGCAACCACCAAATAGGTTTCTAAGATGCACTGAAGACCTCTCAACAGGAAAGCAAAAGCGAAATAGCACGATTCGAGGGCCTGAAAAAGCGACTAATTAACTATGCAAAAGTTACAATAAACCAATCGAAGTATCTGGTTTGAACAAATTCACTAGTTAAGCATACCACGTCAGGCCTGTCAGCTCGTCCTCGTCCTCGGCGAGTCCATATTTCAGGTGACCGTGATCGCTTGGCTAGATTACGACGTGAACCATCCCAACGACGACTTCTCTTTAACGAGTTTTCCACTTCAGTGCCTGTATTCATGTCATCTGGTCTTAAAACTCCACCAGTTTCGTGTCCTTCAGACGGCTCCTCAAACTCCATTTGTGTGGTCTCCTCATCATCGCCTTCCACAGCCACAACTGATCGCAGACTAGGTTCGCCCTGCTATGCATTCAAAAGATTAGATGAATGTCAACGTGCTTCAAGAACAGAAAAACCATAGAAGTTCAAATCAATTTAATGAGTAGCATCCAAGAGAGTAGAAAAGATTGAAAGAAGTTAGTATATGTCGAAGATTAGGAAAAAGATCTTTTCAAATATTAAACGATTGTAATCAAGCACGTATCATAAGGCACAACTTGACTCTCAGAATACCTTCTTGCAATCTCTAAACGCAGACAATGACGAAAACAAGGTCTCATACCTCTGGAATCTCAAAATAGATAGAGAAAAATAAAGATACCTGATCCTGGGTATTTTCATCTATCAACCCCGTATCAGAAGGCCTGTCATCTTCCGTCTTAAAGTAAAACTGTTTGTTAGTAGCCATGTGGTCCCAAAGCCTGCACCACCATTCCTACGACATCACATCTTTGCATTCACCACAAAACCCACCTCTTCATAGTACATCAGTAGAAATCCCTTGTATGTAAGTAACAGGATATAATCTCAGGAGATCTTAACAGGCAAATTAGCTAGAAAGGGCATACCAAGACACAAATGACTCGCTGTCACCGCCTAAAAAAGCTTCAAGATCGTTTACGGCCTGTGATTTCTCCTTTCCATGTCCAACAAGCACAACCACATACTCCTGCACAACGACACTCAAACATTAGAACCGTAAAATCATCCTTCAAAACAGAAATTAAGAAGGCGAAGAACACCCAAATACTCACAGGGACAAAATACAGCTATGTCAGTTCCAACCGTGGAACCCAAATTCTAGAAAGAATACACACAAATCCAGCGAATTTGAATCAATCTCTTCCATCAAACCCACAATAAAGAAACAACTGTGAGCAACATTTACCAGACCCGAACACTGACTCAGAAGAATACATGGATGAACACTTCTAGAAAAGAAAAAATCTCTTAGCACCGAATCGGCAGAACCTCAAATAAAAGTTGTCAACAATACTGACGACAACTGAAACGTGTCCTGAATAGAGTGGCGTTGCATTGAGTAAAAGTAAGAATCAAACCACAAGCACATCATCTGTGTAGTTCCCAATGTATTCAGATAGTTTTTCTTTCACACATCCCCTGAACTTTGCTGCTCCACTGCTGCTCAGATCCATATTATATTTTGCTCCAACCATGATGATAAACTCCCGTTATGCTTGAATCTTCAGGCTACACTGTATCCGATCGATGGTAAAAACACAAGCCAATACAGAATAAGTCTAGCGCTGAATTCCGTGTGGATGTGCTTCTTGATGATGATTTAACTTCCAGCCCTGGATAGATGAGTGCGACGTTAAAGACTTTTTCCAAAAACAAAGATGAAAGCCGACGTAGGGATGGTGAACAAACAGACAGAACACAGCCAGAGGGTTGCTCGGTCAGCCAACAGCCGGATTCATGCAACAGCTCGATGCATATTCTTATGAAAAAATTATGGACATTACTTAGCCATTTCAATTGATGAGAAAGACACTGGAATGAAGGTACAATTCTCGAAGCCATAGATTGATACCCATCCAAATGTACAAATGGCAACCAGATTCCTGCCTCCACCAACATAACATTACACGACGTCGAGCCCAAAACCAAGTTGATACATACAAAATCGAGTTAAACATATCAAAATATGGAACCCCAAAAAATGCAACACAGCAGCCACGGCTTTTCTTCTGTAGCCATGATCAGCAATAACAGAAAATTTCTATACATAACAAGCTCAAGGAAACAAAATGTCAACCACGTAGTTTGGACCATTACAACAATTTTCCTCTTTATAGTATATCACAACTGCTTCAAATGCGGGTGTTACCTTAACCTCCCAGCTCTGTATAAACATTTTGTACCCTATATATAAAGATTCTGTAATAACCGCATACTCTAAGGGCAGTAGGTTTGGGCCTCCGTAAGGTCAACAAAGATTCAAAAAAGAAATAGAGCACGATCAGCACTTCATACATATGACACAAGGCTTCAAAACCCACGACGACAAGATCGATCGCTAAAGCGCGCTACAAAGAAATACTCGATCTAGGCAAATGCCAAGGTTCCTCATGTAGTCTACCAAAAACATAAAAAGAACCCTTGAGTGATTTATAAAACCTGAAGAATAAGCTCACCTCTGATACTGCGCTTCATATGATTAGTGTCAGAACGACGCTGCCCTAATTCCAATAGAACAACCGTCGAAACGTCACTCTAAAAATAACAATTTATCTTCAGTGTAAACCTCAGAGGCATTAATGTTAATCTCCGTAACTGTATCACAGCCCCGCATTGTAACCCTAAACGCGCAAATGGCTAAGCCCAGACAACACACAAAACACACATCTCCAAATACGCTCATAATCAGCCCACTTCACACGGAATCCGTGTCATGACTGCTCCACCACGCCGAGTAGCCAAAATCCATACACAACCGCAATTGATGCCAAACTCTCGCCACAACCAAGACACACCCAACAAAATCCCTTCACAACTACCTTTCCCGAGGCGAACAAACATCAGCGGCATGTTGCGGAATGAGAGAGAGAGAGAGAGAGAGAGAGAGAAAGTAGAAAGTTTACCTATCAGGAACACCTTGTGAGTCCTCCTCGACGATGGAAAAAAATTAAAAATTAAAAATAAGACTGACTGTCAGCTTGTGAGTTCCGGCAAACAAGAAACCGAATCTAACTGCACTAAAACGGGGAATTGACCGACATATCCTTGACAAAACGGGATGATGCTAAGGGAGGATGATGGATAATATATTCCGAAGGTGATGACGTCGAACAAGAAGCGATTTCGTACATCGACGAAATCACACTCCTCCGCCCTTGGCTCTAAATTCGCGTCGAAAACAAGCCCGAATTCTACGATCTATCGAGCGAGAGAGCGAGCGAAGGAAGGAAGGAAAGGAAAGGAAGCAGAGGCGAAATCGTTACCAGAAGGGGCAGAAGCACAAAAGAGGGGAAAAAGAATGGAAGCTTCTTCGAAGAAGCTCATTCACGGTCACAGGGGGGTCACAGTGGTCATAGGAGTCGTATGGGTCGTAGGGTTCCGTAGGGAACATTCTTCGCGAACACCCCTCGAACGGCTTGAGAACTAAACTACAGCGAACTCCTTCTCATCGTCAACATCCCGACCACGGCTCCCCTCACACTCGCGAACCTGTTCCCTTGCTTGCAACTTTATTTGAACGCGTCCTGTGGATGAATGAATTCTTGTCGAAGAATAAACGTGTTTCCTCTTTCTTTCTCGTCTCTTTCTCATTCGTTCTGATAATTTCGAAATGGTGATGGGGTTTGTTGTGGTATTCCTTTTTCTTTCTTTCTTATTTTCTTTTTTCTTTAATTGGGGTGTGCATTTACGTCATTGATTAATATTAAACTAATGAGTGTATGCGGTGCTAAAATTTAACTAATGTCAATCACCAGATTTGAGTGATTCTATTATAGCATGTGATTACAAACATAAATAAAATGAACTCAAGAATTGAGAATGGTTTGACCAGCATTTGCCAAACTTTGTGAAGTGTTTACATTAATCAACGTTTTAATTAATATATTTTGTGGTTATTTTTTTCTGATTTATAATCAAATAAGTTTGCTCAGTATATGTGCATGAAAAATATACCAAATATTAAAATGAGACCCGTTCACACCTGAAAGTTACTGTCTTCATTTTTGTGTAAAATTTTGAAAATTAGAAAATAATTTTAATTTAATAATACTCTTGCACACCATTGTCTTATTTATTTATTCATTTATTTATATTAGTCCAAATCTTGTATGATTGTAGTTTTTTCTTCCATCCAACAATTTAAACTAAGATACGTGATGTTCAATATTAGTTGCATCTCAGCACTATCACAACATATAATTATCCAACACTCAATTTAAAAGACTGTACAAATTATATCTGGAGTCATTAATGAAATTTAAAGTAGTGACTATGATTGATATAACAGAAATTCACACTTTATTTTCCTCTCTTAAGCATCTAACATTTCTCATAATTTTCATGGCTCTTATTTAACACAATAGAAGTAGCCATATTACAATAATACTCACGTATTTATTGTTGTCACAAATGGATCTTTATAATCAAACTACAAATAGATTCTTATCCTCTAAACCAATTTCAGCTTTTATTGTAATATTGTCCAGGTTGTGAAAAGAATGAAACAGAACCAGTATGTGCATGCGATAATCTATATATATATATATATATGATATTTTTCTTCTTCACATATATGGTTTGGTTTTTTCTATTTTTGGAATATTTGAAACAAGCATTGGCTATGTGACTAATTAACACAGATATGAACAAAATCCAAATCTGAATTCTAAAACCACAATATAATGGTTGTTGAGTTGAAATCATTAATGGAATTTTTAATCTATTTTCAAAACATGTAATAAAAATAAAAAGGCAATTATTTTATGTAACTAACAAATATCATTGTCATCTAAATAAAAATCACTACATACAATACATTGAATACTGCAAACCAATCATAAAGTATGTAATTTAAACCAAATACAAATGCATATCCAACACACTTTCAAGGAAAGAGTAGAAATTTACACCAAACTAAATCAAGTTATCTTTCACACTACAAAGGAGAAATCCAAGAGTGCAAGTGTGAAAATAAGAGAAACTCTAAAGCTTTACTAAAATGGCTAAAACACCATAGCCAAGCAAATCTTTACAACAAGTTCTCTCATTCTCAAAATTACTTATAAGAGTTGACTTGACAAGAATATCAAATTAAGGATTTTTTTCCACTTAAGTATTCAAACCTTAATTGATATGAACAAAGTCAATTAACAAAAAAAAACTATCAATGGATAAAAAACCACTAATAAAACTAAACTACATTCATTTGACAAGATTTGGCATTTGATGCCATAACACGTGATAATTTTCATGTAAAAAAGATCATTATATATAATACATCAAGTGCTACAAATCAATCATAAAGTATGTAATTTAAACCAAATACAAATATATATCCAAGACACTCTCAAGTGTCCATCCTAGTTGATTAGGAACTCTTTCAACTATGATTACAAAATACATATTATTGAAGATCAATGCCACAATGATATTATTGCCAAAATGTACTCCTCCAAACTAGTCTTGTAGCAGTTAGACCATTAAAGTGTATGACACACATAATAGAAGAAATCTTCTATCTTTATCAAGACATGATGCATGACTAGGAGACTTCTTATAACAAGGACAAATCCAATTTCTTAATGAAAGAGTCAAAAGAGGTGGTGTCAAACATGCCATATATCACCCATGTTGGCATTGATCATACAAAAGTATAGTAGCAGCTCATTTCTTCTTATCACATATAAAGCAAAGAAGATCAATTTGCACAATTGCCAATTCAAGATGTATAGAGTCATAAATAGGAAGATAACAAGGATCACAATTCTTTGAATGTTTTTAATATTCTTATCCATCCTTGCTTTCCAACAATAAAATATCACTAAGAAATACATCTTTTAAACTTAGAATTATATGCCTTATCTTAATATCAAGTATTGTAGGTACTTCATGTTACAAATATACATAATCTCTTTTAGAAAATCTTTGCAACTGAAATGAATATGTTCTACTATGGATGCAAGTATATTATTAAGAATTGTAATGTTGAGCAATAATAAGTTCTCTATAGCCATAAGTATGGCATATTTAAAAAAACTCTGCTTGGTCATGTAGATATTAAATCCAAACAACAAGATCATCTAGGTCTATAACTAGAGCTAGCTTTTCATATATTGAGCTAGATAGAATTGACTTCTATCCATGTAATAATTAATAAAGATTATAAGATGCCAAAGATGCTTGTATATTAAAGCCATAATCCATTGTAATCCATAGTAACATCAACTTCCAATTACAATGGTTGCTACGAAGTAATCCATACTTCTATAATCTACATTTGATAGTTTGAATAACATGCTCAGTCAAGCTATCTTCTTTATAATGATTTTTTAATATAGTACAAACTTCCAAAAAATATTACATCATATCTAGAAATCATCCTAAGGCAAATAGCCTAATTGAATGTATTGTTTAGACTATCAAATATATTGTAAAGCTTCAAAATTTGTAAAAAATTCTCTTCTTTAATTTGATTAGACTATAGTAGGTACTCCAAAATGTGCCAATACTTGATCAAGAAAAGCCATAGCTACCAATTCTTAAGAGTTTTATAGTAAAGCTACAAGTTCAATCTACTTATTAAAATGCTCTACCATCACTAATATATATTTAGCTCTATGTGAAGTAACAATAAGTAGTCTATATAGTCCAAAGATCAATAATAATACAAATCTATAATAGGTAATGGCTTCAATTGAAATAATAAGGTATTAAAGTTTAATCTAATTCAATCATATACTTCATAATAAGAAACATATGTGGCCACTTATTGATACATATCACTCTACTAACATTGATTATGCAATATAGAATATTTCCTACGCACTCCAAAATGTCCAAATTTTTTATGTACTTGGCATATTAAGATGGCTCTTTGATCTAGCCTTAGAACTATGTGCCTAGCTTCATCCATCTATACACAAAATAAGAAATTGTTCTTTCAAAAAAATCTTATAATTTGATGACTAATTCTATGTCTTTTTATAGTAAAAATAACTAAAAGAAATGTTCCTTGTTGAAGCTTGTATAAGACTACAAGATCTTTCCATGCATTGTTAATTACTTGATTCTTATCCAACTCTTCATGTAAATTCTGATCAAGAACCATGATATTGTAGAACCTGATATTAAAGTCAAGTATGTCATTACATGCTATCCATTACTACCTCTCAATTACAATTTCTATGTCATTAAGCTCTAATTAAATCTTCTTTTGAAGGATATGAATTACAAGAAAAGCCATTGGCATCCAATTTGGTAATCCATGCCCAATGCATAACTTCAAAGTTATATTTTTGAAGCAACAAAGTCCCATCTTGCAACCTTGGCAGTAAGCTTATGTAACTCAATAAGCCACTTCAAAGCTTGATGGTCAATTATCAATATAAACTATTGACCATATAAGTAAAATCAAAAGTGAACAATTGCCCAAACCATTGCCAAAGCTTCTCTTATATAAGATGAGTAATTTGACTCCACATTGTTATTACTTCTAGAAAAAAAAAATGTAATAACATACTCAAGTCTCACATCATTCCTTTGTACCAAGACTCCTTCCAATCTTATTGCACTTCAATCTGGATGTAGTTGAAAAAGTCTATTTAGATATCAAAGCATTGGATTTGAACCCAACTTTTTCTTCAATAAGTTGAATGCATAATAAGCCTCACAATCCCAAGTCCATTATTGATCTTTACTTGTGAGAATATTTAAAGGCTTAACAATGACACTAAATTTTTTAACAAACCTTTGGTAGTAGTTTGTCAATTCTAGAAAAGTCCAAAGTTATAAAACATCACTTGGTGTCAAGATTTTTTCCAATGCATCTACTTTTGCTTGTTGTATATCAAGACCTCATGAGATAATCATGTGATTCAGATATAGTAACTTTTTATGGAAGAATTTATATTTTTCATAATGCAAGCATAATTTCTATTGTCGTAATTTTTCAAACATTGCTTATAAATGCCTTACATGAACTTGTGGGATGCTACTAAAAATAATATTATTATTAATATAACATTTAGCAAATGATTAGTAAGATACAACTTTATCGATTATCTATTAAAATTCAATTGGTATATTCTTAAGATCAAATGGAAGGAATTTTTAATGATAGAATTAATGTTTGTTATTTTGATCAACTCTCTAAAATATTTTCTTCATCCAATCTTTAATAAGTAATAATAATTAGTGATAAATAAATCTAAAATCTAAAATATTGAATAGTTAGAAGAATCTTAGTGCATCAAATAATTCTTTT